GGAAATCAAGCTGTCCAGCAAAGGAAATGTGATCCTTTTGCTCATTGAAAGGTCAGAAGTCAACCATGACACCTAATCTTAGACAGGAGGTACATGTGATAGAATGCATTACATGTCGCGACCCCATGGGCAGCTTATGCAGCTCCACAGATTTAGTGGGATTGGTAATGAATACACGCGCAAAGTTACACAAAGTGTTTTATGACCTACATTAAACACTGCAAGTAACGGAAGAGGAGAATGAAGCAAAACTCAGGGAGTAACAGCTACAGATTTACATATTATCAAGAAATATCAGGAGAAGAAAATCTTAGTTCTCTTAACTGCGCTTTTTAATGAAGGTTTTGGAAACACTTTTGTTCATGTAAATGATCTGTACAGTTATAAAGATCTCTCTGGAAGGGGTTAATTTGTCAGAAAGGAAAGCCCTTTTATTTGCAGTGAAACCTTTACTTTCCATACTTATCCTCATGGTACAATTAATCTTCTCAGCCCCTGCAGACAGACTAACAGAAAATATGCATTTTATTAAACTAAATCAGCAATCTTTAAAACTTCTAAGTAAAACAAGCACATATGAAAAGAATAAAAAAAACAAAAAAAAAACACTGTCAACAGCTGCACTGAGAAGACAAATTTAACTCTTGGTTTCAATCTATGCATATCTACGCATATTTTTTCTTCTGTCTTTCCCATAGCAAAGCAAGGCTTAAGAACAAGCAACAGCAACAACACAAACAGCAGCGGGGTGCAACTCAGGTTGTCTCACATATGTCTGCTACTGCCTCCATGTGGCAGCAAAGAACAGAAAATCTAGACGAGAGTTTACAAAACTCCAGTGCAGAGATCCTACAGAAGAATCGTCGAATGATAACTTGAGATTTTTGGTACCCTAACCTATACCTTTTGGGTTAGGGTTAGCCACATAGTCTGAGCATGCAGCTCAGAGCAGAGCTGGGCAATTCCAGGCCTCCAGGGCCACTGATTTAGACAGAGATAACTTTAGTTTGCTATTCATAAATATCAGTGATGTGGGGTAATTTGAGAGCTCTGCTTTAGCCGCTATCACAGTATAACTTAGGGAAGTTTCATCACCTTATTAATGTTGTCACAGGCCCAATAATGTTATATGGCTATCTCAATTATCATTTTGAAGTTGCCAAGTAGAAATTAGTTATCAAACAGTGATCCTTCAATTTAATATTTGTGTCGCTGAGATGTGCTGTTATAAACAAGGTGAAATTTGTTTACTTTTTATAGATTCATGGGCTACATTCTATGAATCTCTAAAAAGTAAGCTGATTTAAAAAAAATCTTGCACATAAATATGTATTTATAGTGTTGCTGTTGGAAATTTTTACAAATGGGGGAGAAATAAAATCAGGAAAAGTGTTTTAAATCCAGCAAACTCAAATGGAATGATTTTTATCTTGGCAGACAAAAAGTCAAAAGAGGCATTCATTCTGAACAAAATTAGTTTCAGGCTTTGCTTTTTGATTGGAAAATCAAGGGTAATCTTGGGATTTTCAAATGGACATTTATGTCTGTCATTTTGAATGAACATACATAATATTTAATCACTATATAAAATAGCTGTAATCCATTTGAGTTAATTGCAATTACATAATCTTTTCCAAATTCCATTGTCATTTTTTGTCATATTTGTTTTCACAGCATAAACCAGGACTGGGCAAACCGCCTGTCTGCCAGAGATGGCGGGTACAAAAGGCAGGAGAGGAAACCTAAACCTCCAGAGGCTCAGCCAGACGCTAATGTGTGGAAAAGCAAACCCTCAGCTCCCCGTGTTGCTACTCGTGGTGTGGGTTCAGGGGCGCCCGGCAAGCCAGGAGTCCAAAGCAGAGGTTTCTCCGCTCCAACTACAACTTACAAAAAAGGGCAGGAAAAAACAGTTCAAGACAGGAGTCTTAACAAAATGCAGCTACTTATGTTCTTGAACCAAACTAAACCCTCACCTGCAAATTGGGGAAAGGCATGGAAGTACAACAAATCCTTACCAGCCCCTACAGAGGGCACCGTGGTTGGCCCAGAATGGGGCCACTGCTGGATGTTTGCCCCCCAGCAACCTTCCTTTGAAGCAGGTAAGTCTTGGCCAGACAACCCAGACACGTTGGATCGCCACAGCCTTCACCTCTGGACAAAGCCTGAACACAAGATGGTGGAGTCCCAGCAGCTCGACTTCCATCGTCCAGCTGAAGAATGGCAAATGTCCTGGCAAAGACCTGAGGAAATGAAAAAGGCTGGATCTGCTGATGGGGAGAATGGCCGGAAATCTGGATTCCAGCGCCACAATGAAGCCCTTTCTTCATCAGAGTGGGTTGACTCATTTCACTCCACCAAGCCCGCAAATCAGTCAGATCAAGGTTTTATAAAAGAGTCTTCGAATAAGATGCAGGATAAGGATAGAGAGATGAATCCCGAATGGGAAGAATGTTGGAAGCTTGTGAACCATCATGGTGGTAATAATTTCAAGCAGCAGTTTCAGAAAGCTCAGACTCTTGAGTGGGCCAGTTCATGGAGAGCAGCTACAGCGAACCTCAACCATCAAAATACATCCAACCACGGCTCTGGCCACGATGATCATGGCCAGCAGAAAGAGTCCCAGCACACACTCATCGGTGTGTCTCTCATGCGTCACCACAGAGATATGCACATGCAGCTCTGCCAAGGATTCGAAACCCCCACTGAGTGGAACCACTCATGGCAGCTTACAAAAAATAACTCAAAGCCATGTGAGGAGATCAATAAAGTCCTGAAGGCCCCACCACCAAAGATGGACTCTGCTAAAGAGGGGCAAAAAGAGCATTCCGCAACAGAGAAACCAGATCCGCGTTATGAACAACTCAAACATGATGTTATTTATCAGACAAAGAGAGAATTCCCAGAGTCAAAGATGCTTCTTTTCAAGCAAATGCAAAAAATGTTGCCTTTGTCTGAATGGAAGGACTCTTGGAAGATATTAAAGCATAGAATGAGAATGGAGAGGAGAAGATATAGGGTAAATCCTTTGGAGTCATTTAGAGAGTCCGAAAATAAGGACACAAAATTCAATTCTTCAGAGTGGAAGGACTCATGGAAACACAGCTGTAAGCCTTTAAATCAGGAGCCTGACTTGTGGCAACAGGGTTGGTCAACAACACCACAAATTCGTGTGAACTGGGAGCGGAACCAGAATGAATTTGAGCCAGAGCAATTTCCCAAGAATGGACCAACTAGTAGACAAATTTGGGCAGAGTCCTGGAGGTTCTCAAGACGCCAGCATCGGTCAGAGCCTGGACAAGAGAGAGAACAATTCAGCCAAGGAAAATCCGGTGAGCCTTCCCATCATCATCATTACTCAAAGGAACGAGAACAGTATACTAGATCTATATCTGACTGGCATGAAGCCTGGATGGTGTCTGAAACCCAGTTCCGTCATGATAGACCTTCTTTACTTCAATGGAGGGAAGCCTGGAGGTGTTGCATCTACCACACTTTGCACTGGACCGATCACGTTCCAAGAAACAAGTGGGTGAATCAATCAGCAGAGATCCAACATCCAACAAAGTGGATTTATAGGCGAAAAGCTAAAATGAGCACCTCTTTCGACAATGAGGTGTTCAGGCAAAGATACCCTGAGAAAGAGTGGAGGTCTTCATGGAGCGCTGAGTCACTTCTAGAGCACCAACCAAGTTTTTATGGATCTGTAGGCACAACTGGGCAAACTAAAGGCGGCAGCGCCAAGCAGACTAATCCCTTTGCAAGTGAGTATAAATCAAAGTGGGGAAGGTCATTTAGGCTTGCAAATCCCATGCCCAGCCTGGATCAGCCTTGGGTGGAGTCCGGTCCCAATCCTGTTTCCTATGCAGTGTGGTCAAGAGGAATGAGACAAAGAAACATCCAATTCAATTTCAGCGACACCACTCTCTCAACCAAACTATGGGCCAACTCCTATTGCTTCCTGCAGGGCAGCGGTTCACGCAGTGGAAACAAAGCTAAGTCTATGGGGCCCAGTGACCCAAGAGTGATTTCGGTGAAAAAGATCCAAACAAGGAAGCATTTGTACTCCGACATGGAGAAGGAGAAGCAAGTTGACAAGAAGTGGGCGGGATGCCACCTATTAGGGAAGACTCAACCTCGCCCCAAGAAAGGCCGCGGTAAGCAGCCCACACCTGAGGACAACGGCAACGACAAGTTGTATGACGAATGGGTCGTATCTTGGAAGTTCCTGGTCCGGCCTCAAAATCTGAGAAAGCAAATGGCCTTTAAGGCACTCTTAGGATGGGGGGAGTCATGGAAGTTTCTCTTTCCACCATATGCGCCCGTGTTAGATGTTAAAGGTAAATCAAAAGCATAGATCTAGCAACTTTTAACTCACTAAAACATTTTGTTTAAGATAAAAGAAAACATGGTATTTAGCCAGAAATATACAAATCTTGAAAATGCTTACTGTAGCAATAAACAAATACCTGAAAGATTTATTATTTGCAATGTTTCTTCAATTTCTAGGCGTGAAGTATCGTTGATAGTCAGAAGTGACACATAAATACTAAGTTACATCTTCTATGGAAAGCCATTTTCAAACTATATTACAAGCTAACGAATGGCTACCTATTAGATTTGCCACAAAGATTTGAACAGCATTCCACTCATTCTTTTTTTGGATTCTGTTTTATATTATCGCTTAATAGAGGAGTAAAAAATGAGAGAGGTATATCCTGGACAGCCAGTCCATCTCAGGGCCACTTAGAAACAAAAAAGATCCACGCTCACACTCACTGCTATGGAAAATTCACCAATTACCAATAAGCCTAACATACAAGTATTTGGATGACGGAAGAAAGCCAAAGTACCTGGAGAGAATCCATATATGAATGTGGAGAAGAAGAAAACTGAACACAGAAAGACTACTGAAGGATCCATTCCTTATGATGAACGAAGAAAGGAAGGTGAAATAGTTCTGGAAGACTGTGACTGTTAATCCAGTTTGAAAGAGTAACGATGGAAGCATAGTAATGTTTAAAGATGGATGAAAATTGTATGAGAGCGCATTGTATTTGGCATTAAAAGCAGATTAAAGGAGAAACATTAAAGGAGAGTAAAGGTTTCAATGGTTTGTTCAACAATGCTGCTAATTGATTGAAAGCTACTGAGAGTTCCCGTCAATAAGGCACTTAAATATTAGCAAATCCTCAATTTTATCCATTAATTCCTTATGTCTTTGTATTTACTTATGGTTAGATCATCTTTGAAAGTTAAACCCAACCAACTACAAAGCAGACTGGACTAGAACATTAGTGACATAAGAAGATAATCTCAGTTTCGGCTCAAGAGGGAGCTGAACCGTTTCTTTACTATTAGAATAATGTTCACACCTGAGCTTCACATGCAACAGCACCCCAGGATACCACATAAAGAGGTTATCCATCCATTTTCTATATTACTTATTCCCAACGGAGAGACTGGGGGGCTGGAGCCTGTTCCATCTGACATTATTCTACGGTTGGTAACACCACTCGACTTCAGATAGACACATTTAAAGACAATATCTGATAAAAAGCTATAGATCCTACATCCTGCCGGGGCAGATAGAAACCACAAGCTAAATAGAAGCCGATATGAGATCTTAATCAGATTTTAAAGAGAGCTTTAATTTGAATCAGAATCAGTTTTGAAGTTAAAACACTTTCACAGCTTTTTGGAAAACAGCAATTCATGTGATGGTCTAAAATATTGTCAACTTTAAAGGAATGCTTATATTATGACTCTTTAGTACTGCAGATTTAGCATAGCAGAAAATACAATGTAAGACAACAGAACTTACTTTAGCCACAGCGATACACATGACACAAAAGTGGAACTGACAAATCTCTGGGGCTAAACTGTAAATCAACACATAAAAGTACCAGTTCAGCCCCTGATACTTAAACCTATCCGTATGTAATCAGTAACCATGGCCAAAAAACTAAAAGCTTGAAGTAATTACTATAGTTCAAATATCTGGGCATTGCAAACGGAATATTCCCCCATAAGTGCTGACCTCAGCGTGGTCCTGACTGACTGGGGATGGATCTTTTAAACAGGCAGAGGAGGTTTTCGTAGAACAGAAAATCAATCCTCATTCAGTAATCGATCTGTCAGAAATTGATTAGTGTCTCTGTCAGTATGGCTTTGTAAGGGTATTTCTAATTTAGCATCACAAGCAAAACCCTCACTTGGCTGGGCTTGGCTTGTGATCTCCTCCAGTATGCAGACTTTCTCCAGACCCCGTTCCTCCATCAACTCAATCAGGAAGATCAAGTGCTTATAAGTGGGCAGTGAGTTAATGTTAAGAGCAGCTCCAGCTGGATAACATGCTAACGGGTTTCTTCGATAAGTTTAGTTTTCTCTGCATTGAGATCTGACCTTTCCGTTTGGACACTCTTCAAAACTATTCTCGTTTTTTCATTCACATCTTTCAGAGGAGACTTTACTGTTCCTGGTTCACAAACTAGCAAGATGGTTCAGTTTAGTGGAAAGGAAGGGCATCCAAATTCCATAAGATCACTCCTTAAGATGACATCCTTGTATTTTTTATGGGTGGATGCTTCCATTGGTGTTTTTGGACTTTGTTTTTGGTTGTAGTTTAGTTCTGTTTTCCTGTGCTTTAGTTTGTCTGTGTTTTATTCTGGTTTCTGTCTGATCTTCCTGTGGTCTTCTCCTGGTTCTTCTCCTGCATCTCCAACCCCCCCTCCTTCAGTTACTTCCTGTTATTCTGGGTCATAATCTCAGCTCTGTTCAGATGTGTTCCCTGAGTCACATCCTCTTTGCTGAATAACCACACTCCATAAAAATACCATATGTCACTGCCTCTGGTTCTGTTTCCCCCTCTCTCCTCCAGTGACTTTATGAATGAGGTCAGTTTCTTGGTTTTGTTATTTCAAGGTTTTTTTGGGGGGTCCCCCCCCAAAAAGTAAAAACACACTCAGCAACTCAGTGGTCCAGTGGTAAAATAGATGGAACCAAAGCGAGAAGAAGAGTCCAAGTGTTAAAATCTTTGGGAAATATTCTCGAGACGGAATGTTCTTTCAGCCCAGAAAACATTGATCGGTGTGTTTTGCTTTTCTCAGAACAAACCATTTAAACGTACATGCTGATATCCCAGTTCTGGACAAAGTTGGGCATTAGTGCTTGCTTTCACATTTCTTAACCTACAATACTGTTTCCCACTATGAAAATGATGGGAGATATGATATAAGAAGTATATATTTGCACCACTAGATGTCCCTAAATCCCACAGAATGTTTTTCCACAAGGAGTTGGGACAGAGCTAAAATAAATAAAATGTTCTTGATCTTTTGTGCATTTAAAGTCAACCAAACCCTACAGTGTACATTTACAGTGAATGGCTGATATTTATATTCATACACAAGATGCCAAGCAGAACTGGTGAAATAAGGAATAATAGTAAAGCTACTCACGTTGCCGTGGGGATAAAGGAAGCTTTGAGTAGGGGATTGACAGTTTTTTATTACTAGATGAAAGGATTAAGAGATTTGCTTTGACAAACTAACAAGAGGAAGGATTTAGATTAAGATGTGACTGATGTTGTATTATAAGACCAGCCTTGTCAAAGAAGAAAAAGTTTACTCAGCAAAAGGTATGTAGAAGAAAGAGTGAAAAATGAAGGCAAGAAGTAATAAAACTGACTGAACATATATTTTTTTCTGTGATTTTGATCACCCATTTGTGAAAGCTGACTGTTGGAAACATGGTACAGTGTAACACAGTACTCTAATACAACACCACCAACTACACCTAGCTCTGCCTAAAGATAAATCCTCCTCTCTATTTGTGTTTTTTTCACTTTAAGTGATGTATATCCATTCAATAATCATTCCTGTTTGGATGTGTCTAAGTTGGGAGATTTAAATTTTTTTTCCACCTTTATGGTTACTTGCTACACTAATAAAAATTCAAAAAGATAACACATCAGGCAAAGTACCAAAAGCTAATTTTGATCCAACCGGTGTCCCAGCAAAATTTTAAATAATATCAATTCCATCACTTGATTTGTGTCCACAGACATTTCTGCTGTTAAATCATTAGAAAGCATGTGGAAGTCTCTTGATGGATTGACAGTCACCAGTTTGGGAAACAGGTGAACAATCAGATTATTATCACAACAATTAAGAAAGTATAAAATAATAAAATAAAAATAATTTCCCTCTGGCATTATTAAGGTATTTCTGATTCTGATTCTGATTCCTACATTTAGAGTTTGAATGAGGTCGTGGGAAAAAAAAGTGCTCACCCAAATGTTCCTGTCTCAACCACAATAACCTTTTATTGAAAGGCAATTTTTTATATGATATCACTCACTGCATTGTTGCCGTTTCTCAAGTTATAAATGACTCTGTTATTAGAAATAGAAATAATTTGGTAAGGGTAATCTTTTAAACAATTTAACTCTTGATAAAGCAACTACTTTTCTCATAATTTCTCTGAAACCTGTGTCAACAGACATTCACAGACTTTATACTTAAATGAAAATATGGCCTTGTGATAATCTTCTGTCGACCTATAAAGATATGTGATGCAGCAACATAATTTCTGTGGCTGGGATTTAACACGATGCAAGTTATTCCGTCTTTTTTTCCCAATATCCCACATCGGAAAGGATTCCGATCATTTACCAAAGATGTAAATCCAAATCTCAGCCGCATCTCAATAGTCAGTTTAGGATTCAGTTTAGGATTTGACATTTTTCTAACAGGTGGTTTAATAGATGTTCTGAAGTAATTATTAAGTCATTACTAAGTAATTACTATAGTGAAGTACGCATGGTGGTTTCACCACATTCCAGAAAGTAACCCTTCATTTAGTGGTTTCAAACTGAATATTTTCTGGATCCAAAATTATGAATTGTCCTGTAAAATATGAAAGTAAAGGTCTAAAGCCTAGATGATGTAACCATGTTTACAGCTCTCTTGTAACAGTTCAAATCCATCCAGCTTTTCTGTCATCTGTCACCGTCATGATGAGGTTGATGTTATTAAGAGGTATGACTCATGTCTTCAAGAAGTTATTTACTCTCTCTTCTCCCCTAATTCTGATTGGACGCATGCTTCAGTAAGAACAAAACAAATCATAAATACATTTCGTTTGGCTGCACAACGCTGGCTGCAGCCCATAAAAAATAACCAGCTATATATATATATATAACGTGGAGGAAGCCGCTTTACATAGTGAAATATTCAGAGGGATTCATTTTCCTTCAGCGTCTTTACTCAGCTGTGTCTGCGCTGACAGACGAGTGGACTTCTGGGTGCGTTCAGAATGTGTCAGTGACTCACTCCGTTAGGCGCCGTGTGCCTT